ATAGATTACACCAGCATATGGCTGAGACACTTTGTTACATCCCTAACACAACAGGCTCTAATTTTAGAATGTCCTTTACTGGTTACAGCTAAATTGTTTTTGTGATATGCTTTTATTTGAGAGAAGTAAAGGGTTTTTTTTTGTTTGTGTTTTAATAATCATGCTCAAGTCCATTGAGCTTTGTGGAAGCTAGAAAGAAATAGGAAAACAATGAGTCATTAAAATACATGCTGTAAAGGATTAGATTCTCTATTCTGGTTGAATTGCTTCCAGGCACTAAGGAGAAGTCAACCCAGTATCATATCACAGTGCTAAAGAAGTCTCAGAATTTTGGCAAGATTTTTCTGTCTTTTTATTTATTTATTTATTTTTTCTCCCCTTGATAAATACTCCTAAAATTTGACTTAAGGAGCCCTGCTCATCCACGCTATATGACAGGCGCCTATAAAATTAAATTGGACATAATAATATGGGATGGCACTGGTGCAGTATCATTTGACCATTAGTTAATATCAGTGTTAAAGTAAATTTCAAATAGCTTTTATACTTCTGTGTTAAGCTTTTATAGCTTGCTTACTTCTGATGTAGCAAGATGTGAACAGATATGCTTAAAAAAAAAAAATCCAGATCAGGTGGTTAATTGTTTTTAACACATGTATAAAATAAAGCCATCAGAGTCTATATTCTTTTTTCCTCTGGAAAATAAATAAATAAATAAATCAGTGCAATAAGCACTGACCCAAAGGAAACTATAAATCAGAATCAGTTTTCTATGTTTAAAGATGCTTAAGATTTTATCTTTTATCACATATAGATTTGGGATAAAGTCAGTATAGTTTGCCTGTGAAGAGAGGTGCCAGTTCTGAAACATTTGGCAAAATATTTGAGTACCTATTTTATGTCCTTTTTCTATAATGCTACTGTGTCCTGGATTAGGAACAGAAGCACAGGAGATCTCAATTATTCAGCCCAAATGAATAATCAATTATGTTAAGGATTTTAAGTATGGGTGTATAATGTCCTAATTATATTAAAATAACTTATTTTAAGATTTACTTATTTATTTATTTTTTTAATCAGTTGATTTCAAATGTAGGGATTACTTTTGGCAAAGAAACATCTCCACACATTCCATGGAAAAATTTATGTAGCTTTATAGCAAAAGCATCGTGTTTAAAGTACCCAGGATCCTGAGAATCAGAGGTTAATATTGTTTGAGGATGTGTTTGTGCTGGGGACAAGTAGAGATCTATCTGCAGAATTCATCAAGGAGGTACAATGAGAGTAGAGTTTCAGCCTAGATTTATGTGAACATTAAAAATCTATTAGTAATTTCCATAAAGTGAGAGCCTCACCCTGTTCTCTCTGACTTTGGCTCTTGTTTCCCATCACTAAGTGATGTGTTCATGGATGGCTGCGGGCTGTATTGGTACTACTTGATACAGTTTAGATGACATGCTCCAGACTTTACTCCAGCAGATCTAAAAGAGAGAATTTAACTGAAAATTCATGAAGAGAAATACAACTGAATTACAGGAAAAGGAGCTGCTAGAATAGTGTTTTATGTCAATCATGTTTCTAATCATGTAAAAGATAATGTGACTCTCCTAGGATACTAGCCAAATTCTTACTGAAAAAATATTGTTGAATTCTTGGTGGAGGTTGTTATTAATTTTGTTTTCTTTCTTTGTCAACAGCATACTTTTCTCATGGTACTTAAAATATCTACTATTTATTTTTTGTCGTAGTCTTTCTGACAGTCAAACACATATCTGAAAGGGCTGCAAAGGTGTATGAAACTAATAGATTTTTTTTTTTTTTTGCCACCTAGAGAAAGGTGTACTTAATTTTTCATTCATTATTTTACACTTTCAAATTTCCCATTTATGGCAAGAATGTTTTCTGTTGTAATTTGTCATTCTGAAATTTCACGAAATCGAATCTAGGGTTGCAAACGGAATTTTTGAGTTTAACTGATTGTTGGTATGATTAAGTAGTTAATAAAAGCAACCTTTTTTTTTTTTTTTCTTTTGGAAATATCTTGTCTGAAAAATAAACATCAGTTTTCACTGAACTGAAAAATCTTTTGCTGTATATTTGTGGGGGAAAAATGCATAAGATATGACCAGTATAATGATTGTTTTTAAAAAGTGTTAAAGCTGTTAAATTCTTATAAAGAACATTAATGCATGGATATTACAACATCCTTAATATGCATCAATGATAATAAATTCAGATTCATGAAAGTACTTGCAATATAAAGTTTAAGTAGATTTCACTGAAAATGTATCCATGGTGCTGCTGGGTATAAACCTGCAGAAATGATGCATGCCTCTACTGTTCACATTAGCTTGTATGTAGTGTATAACTTCTTAACAGCTAACGGGACATGTAGTTACTCATTGAGATTTGAAAATGAATTTATGATTTCTGATGTTACTGTTTGCTGTTGTATTTTCCTAAATAGATGTAATAAAATAATTGTTATTGATCACAATATAAAGTAAACTCCATTGAAGCTTTCTGTTGAAAATAAATATAGTGACAGCAGTAACTTCTACCCTCACCGAAAAAAAGTGTTTTATGAAACTTTAAATTTGTTTTTATGCTTGACTGTTTTATGGCCAGGGTGACATAGATAAAGAATGAAATTAAACTCCAAATTATAGTCAGTGCTACAGCAAACAGAGGCTTTTAAAAATAGAAGTTGATTTTTCTCAGGTTTGTGCCAAAGAACCTGCTATTATTGACGGGGAGGGAGCATCCTCTTGACTACAAATAAAGCACAGGCAAGGGTCAGCGCTTTTGCCATCATCCCAGAAATAGGCCCATTTACAGGTTAGGCTGCACCAAGCACCTGCAGCCAGGAATGGGGCTGCAAGGATCTGAGCAGCTCCTGCAGTCTGCATGCCGGTGTTGTGGAAGAGTCAGGAGTTCAGGGAAGGCTATGAATGATCCTCATTCTTAACTGCTTCCCCTTGATTTGCATTTGATTCTGAGCTGCTTAACCACTGGTGGATTATTTCAATTTTCCTGGTGAATAATGCATGAGGGTATATAAGTGGATGTTCCCTGGCTGAGTGGGCTGCAGATGAAAAGTGTCAGCTCCTTTGCAGCATTAATGTGCAATTTTTTTCTCAGGTTAAAGCTGTAGAGAACCTAGATAAGCTTTTTTTGGATAACTCCTACAAATGCCAAAATATTGGCAATGTTTGCTTTTTCTCTTCTTTTCCATTTGAATACCTGTTATTACCGTGAAAAAAAGTCAGTTGCCAGTTTTCCATTAAGAATTTGTTTTCCTCGGGACTCCCCTTCAAGATTCAGTGCTACATTGTTGTACCTGCTGCTTAAGCTTCCTGAAAAGTGACAGGAAGGGGGATGTCTTTGTTTCTCTGCCACTAAGGTTAATTTGTTTCTCCAGCTCAGGAGACTTTGCATTGATCTCTCTTGCACCTCCTTCTTACTCTTCAGTATGTCCCCAAAGGATAACTGGGGTATCCTTCTCATCGGTAACTTTGAGGCACAGATATGTACAATTCTTGTGTATAATATATCCAGTATATCAAACAGGTAGATCTAAACACAGTGAATCCTGTAGTAATTGAAGCAACCTGTGTTGCACTTATAGGAAAAAGTCTATGAATCTTCTCTTATTAAGCTACCGAGGGTCAGCTGAGTGCCTTAGTGGACACTTGTGTCAGTCTCGGGAGTAGGCAGAAAAGATCAGAACTTGGGCAGTGTTCTTATTAGAATGGCCTATTAAAAATTATCCTTTTGTATTCCAGAATGGTAGGAAAGTAAAGCACAGTCACTCTTCTCTTTGCCTGTGGTTAGGTTTATAATTATGGAGCATCTATTCACGATCATAATTTGACCCCTAAAATGTCGAAACTCTGAAACTTAGGCCATGGGCCATTCTAAACCAAATGTTTAATTGAAATGGTCAGATGTGTAATGTGAAGGCTTTCAGGGAGGTCTGAGATGTGTTGGTTATTTTGGAAAATGATGTTTATTTTGAGTCCAGTGAAAGTGGAGTTAGAAACAGCTCATGCTACTGAACCAAACAGTCCTAGAAAATATAACTCTTCAAAACTCCCCAAATGTAACAATATCATTTGAATTTAGACATCCAGACATGAACTATAGATAAGCACATTATAAAGTAATGCTTTTAAGCTAAATGTAGCTTGACATATAACAAGATAAACTATTGAAAGCTTGTGAAATTATAGAGATGGTATAGTAAACATGACATAAAGTTGTGCAAATGTTTAAATAGCAGCCATGATTTAATAGCTATGATAACAGAACTTCACAAGTATTCTGAAACAGCCCTATGAGTATTTTGTGGACGTTTTGTTGTATTTGGTATTTATATGCTGAAATTTGCAGTGAAAGATTTAGCAAAATGCACCTTCTCATTAACGTTAGTTTTTTAGCTTCTACAATATAAATTCTCAAAATATAATCAAAGAATAATAGAAAGGAAAAAGAGTAAAAATGTTTTGAGGAAATTAGATTTATTTTATTTATTATTTTTTTTTGTGATGGTATGGTGTTGGTGGTGACTTGTCCACCACTACGGAAAGTGGTCCCAGACTTTCACATGTGGAACTCAAACACTGCAAGTGAAGCAGATTTTTTTTGTTGTTCCAGTTGTGATTCTAAGATATTTCAGTCTTCTAAGCTCTGTATCACCATCTTCTGCTGTCCTTAATTACTCCTAACACTCTTCATTACCTTTCATTACCTTTATCATTATCTCATTTTCATCACCTCATTTCCTGTGCAAAGTGACAGGGGCAGCGGAGTGGGAGAAACGAGAGCTCACTTCCTCATCTCCTATAAATGTTTATTTTGTCCATTTTTCCATTTTCAAGTCATGCCATAAGAAGAACTCCACTTACATAAACTTCTGCTTACATTTTTTCCCCTTAAAATCAAATTCTGACACCTAACTTCTTAATGTTGCCTTCGTTCCTTGCCCTTCCTTCTGAAAGGATCCTGCTTCCCATATCCAAGTAGAAGTCCCCGGAATCTGTTGCTGTCAGGTAAGGGTTAAACCATGGTCATTTTTCTCTTTGGGGGTAATGGTAGAAAGATGTGATTTTGGTGCTTTTATTCCTAGTGAAGGAAAATTAGTGAAACAGAGGTATATTAGAAGCATAGCTGCCCCACAAGTTAAGACTTCACAAATCACTGTTCTGTTATCTTGAGCCTGTTTACGTAGGCAGTAGCTAAATTGAATCTCTATCAAAGATCATGGGCTCAGAATGACTTTGAACTCCACCTTTGGTCCTTAGTATGTTGAAAAGGTGGATGGAATTGAGGGAGTATTTTTGAAATAAGATGCTATTCATTGTGACTAGTATACAATAACCTGTTTTTAATGTTTTATACTATGTTCATATATATGAAATTAAATATCCGAAGTTGTGATTAAAAGTGGTGTTATCCCAGTCAGTATGTCAAACAGAATTCTAGAGGGTTATGTTTTGTTATGATGAATGACTGTCTTGGCACCTCTCATCTCCATGTCCCAAGCAGACCCAGGTACGCATGCAACCCCTTTCTCTCCTTTGTTCCTCTGCTGGGTTTCCCATGGAGGAAAGCTTGGCTCACAGGCCAGAACTGCAGCGTGCCCTGGTGCACCCCAATCTGAGCCACCCACATTGGAGCTGCTCAGGGTGGAGGACTGCAGGATGCGTGGTAACAGGCACCTAACATGTTGGCTAGGGCTAGGCTAGGTCTATCAAGAGTCTGATGTATTCCAGCAGCACTAAGCTGATGTAATGGGCCAATGTAAACATCACCAAGAAGCCCTGCAGAGCTTAATTTACTTCAGCCTTTGTCCCCAGGAGAAGGGAGTACCATAATGGATCAGAGACAATGATTAACAACAAGGCATACAAAGCACAGCCTTGGGGTGGAGGTGCTGTTGACAGTAATGACAGACATTACTTAGATTTCTATACCATAGCACATGATTAACTAAGCCTAACACATTCTAGGACTGATGTGCAAGTCTTTACTTAGTTGTTGGCAACCCTCTGTATGAGGACCAGTGAAAAGCAATCTTAATCAAACTTAAACAATTGTAATTGAATTATATTTAAAATATATATTATATTTTAATTATATATATTTAAAATAACAACCTTATCTTAAGTATGATGGAATACTGGATATTTATACTGTCTAGTAAAAATAATGTAGTTCTGTACCTGATCTCACAGTCTTGTTGCAAGTATTTCAGCACAGATTCCTTATATTGGAGCCTACTCTATGTGGCCCTATCCACCTCTATTCTTTGGAAAGCCAGTAAACATGCAGCAGAAGAAGGGCAGCATTTATTTTGGAAATTTCTGCTTACAAAATCAATGTTTTATGGGTTGGGCCAAATTAGCATTTTTTTTTTCAAACTGTAATGTTAGAACAGTAGCTCAAATGACAGACATCTATGCAGGAAGACCTTATAAATGCAGATTAATATGTGCATTGCAAGAAATGGGGCAAGCTTCCTTGCATAATGCTCAGTTGATCTGTCTCCCATCCACTATAGAACATTAGCCATTTAATTTTGATACTGTCATTTTTAAAATTTTTTTTTTGGTGTGAAAACCTAAAAGCAAATTGTTTGATTTTAGTATTTTTGATGAGTAATAAATAGGATACTGATTATATGTAAATATTTCTATTAGTATAGATGTAGTGTTTTAATACAATTTCTTTTAAGATAAGGGTTATAGCTTAATCTGTACTGATATTTTACTTTGCATTAATATATTGTTATTTTAATGTAGTTTGTAATTGAGTTGTTAAAAGGAAGACTCCAAATTTCATCACACAATCTAGCCTGGACTTTTTTTTCAATATATGAGAAGAATAGCTGTTTAATTTTTATTCACAGACACTGGAAATCACAAAAGGTCCTAACTTTAAAACTTTACTGAGACAGTGGCCTCACTGCTGCACCAAGGTTTATGAGAAGTCTGTATGAGCCATGCAGAGTTCCAGGGACTCTGCAAAGTAGAGGAATGTTTCTAAAATATATGACCTCAGATTTACCTGTGTTTTTTTATGTAACATTTTTATGAAGAACGGTTTTACAAGGAAAGCTTATATAAAGGATTATTGGAGTATGTCTACTGCATATTTGTCTGTGGACATTTGTATGCTCATCTGGGTATACATGTATGCATATCTATTTTTATGGTGAAGCAAGTGACAAAGCCATTTTAATAAGTTCTCCAATTTTTGAAATAGAATGCTTCAAACATTTCAATAGATAACATTATCTTTTTTTTTTTTTCTTCATATTTTCCAGTGTCCTTACTATTATCAGAAGTGTAAAGGAAATGTTAAACTTATTCTTATCATAGGTGTATTTTGGCTATACTCTTCTGGCACTTTAACTCTACTTTATCTTTTTGTGCATCTGAGTTTCAGAAATGGATGTGACTAGTAGTTTGATGCTGGATCAAAGAAAAGATTTTTCAGAATATAAATACATTTTGCACAAACAATGACCACATTCACAGTTTTCTAAAACAAAACAAACAAACAAAAAAGCACACCACAAGACAAAGCAAACAAAAACCAACAACAAACCAAACCAAAAACAAACAAACCACAAATAAACTTCTTTTAAAATCAGTAGGGATGAATTAACCAGTACTTTTATCCATCATGAATATCAGACACAGTTCGAGATGTTTGTTTTCTTAAACGATTGCACAGTATGTTTTGCTGGAATAAATCACGTTGGTAGCCTTTTTACTATAGTAGAATTTGTCCTTTCTACTACAATAAAGTTTAAAGATAAGTCAGTTGAACTCCTGGTGAGAGGTATTCAGTTAGAATACATTTAATGATGATCTTTTATCACTGTTATATCTCAGAGGAAAAAAAATAATTGTGTAGTTGCACATTGTTATAGGAAATAACTGAGACACAGATCAGCATTTATGAAGATTGACACTGTTTGGTAACTACAATATTGGTGTAGTTGTCAGCTTTTGAGTTTGCCTAAACAGTGTTGATCAAGTTAGAACTGGTTAGATTTTTTTATTATTATTATTATTATTATTATTATTTTTGAGAAGAGTTCATTATCAGTGAAGTTAAAGTTTTCATGGAAATGTTTGTTTCATCAACCTCTGAAGTATTCTGCAGTGGCTACTCCACTTCTTGTCCAATGTAAGAAGTGTTCTTATTTGTTCTGGAGACGATGGTTCACCTCCAATCTCCTATCATCATTTTCTCATAGTTCCCCTTCAAACTCTCTTCTACAGTCAGATATCTTTTTTAAATTTATATTATGCTAATTTAGCCAAAGTGATGGTTTGCTGTGCTGTAATATGAATGTTTTAAGACTCTTCCCCTGAGCCTTAGCTAAAATACAGTATGTTTTCAATGCAGTTTCATTAGGTTTAGATATTCTTGGTTTAAAGTTGTAATGTAGAGGTTGTTTTTTTATTTTTTTATTTTTTTTTAATTTTTATTCAAACTGTGGTATAACTTGGATTACAAGTTGTCAGAATTAAATTGTGCTGCATTTTCTACTATGGTTACAGCCTTTGTAATAAAATGTATAGATGTACTATGTTCTGTTTTTATTAGAAGTTGGAAGTTATCTGGAGAATTGCTTAGTTTTATGACATTTTTTGTTTTTGTCGGAATCTGCCATGACAATTACTTAACAAGGAATTATAACCTCATAGATTCCTAAATCTTTTGTCTTTGCCTGATGAAGTGTTTGTAAACGCAAAATATGGGGTGATCATCTTATATCTACGAAAAGGGCACTGAGAACTGATCTAATTCTTGAATCTATGAATGTACAATAGAAGAGAAATTTATACAAGATGTCTTTTGGGGAGGACAGTTTTAAAAGGAGAATATCCCAAGGGTTTACAAAGCTAATGAGCAAAACTACTAGTCCTGCTTCCTTCCTTCAGCAGCTTTGAGTTGATCCAGACTCAGCTGAGCTGTTGATCCATTCCCTAAACCGAGTGAGCATCCTGGGCAGTGGCTGTTGGTCCAAGAGGCACAGCTGAAGCAAAAGTATGCCTGATCTGTGCCCATCATCCAGGCATTCCTGAGTGATGGCAGGAAAAGCCCCACTGGGGAAATCTGGGTCTATGCGTGCTGCTGTGAGGCAGCCCCAAAACCAAGGAGAACAAGACTTGCCTAAAGTCGATTTTGTACAATTCTTTTCAGTGTAGTGCTCAGGACAAAAATCTTAATCTATTAAATAAGAAAGATGAGCCTTTCAGAATCTGAAGAAGATATGGTTTTGTAACTAATCATTTGAGCAATTTGGAACACTAGATAATCACAAATCATATTCAGTTATTGAAAGCAAATGACAACTTTCCAGTAACAGCTTCAAAGCTGTTTGCTGCCTTCTGTATTTTCAGAGGCTTCTCACTATGTATAAGGGAGGTTACACCAGGACACATCTTTTGATATCATCTGACATTATGCAGTGCACCCATCACATTGCATCATCATTGAAATAAACACTGCTCCGATCATGTCTTTTCCTTCCATTAAAGCTTAATAACAAAAAATTAAATTGCACTTGAGACTGAATGGATTCCTACTAGTTTTCTTTCTGTATTTGGTTTCAAAGGCTAGGGTAAGTAGAGATGAAAAAAAAATAATCTTTGCTGAAGTCAGCAATCTTAATGAACAGTTGTGAAGGTTCAAAACTTCACTCTGTAACTTACTAGATGCTTCAATTTTCAAAATTTAGCTGGAGAAATCATATTTGGTAAAGATATGGTGTAGTACAGCAGCTAGATGAATGTTATTATTCCAGCTTACTATTTTCCTGCAGCATTTTGTGTGGGTGTTTGCATCCTGTTTAGCTTTCCATGTCTCAAACATTTCCAGTTTCCCCTGGGAGATTTTTTCACAATCTAATGCACCTCATTGTCAAAATCTAAATCAGTCATATTTTGATGCAATGAAGAGACATGATAGAATTGCCAAATAAATAAATAAATAAATCAGAATTCTTCTTTCATGACAGTCCTTTTATGCT